AAGATATATGTTAACCTTTCTGTAACCATTCTCTCCATGATTTTGCATAAATGAGATGTCAGGGCAATAGGCCTGTAGCTAGATGGATCTGAAGGGTCTTTCCCTGGCTTTAGGATGGGCACTATTATCGCTTGTTTCCACTCTGAAGGAAGTTGGCCAGATTCCCACACCCTATTAAACAACCTTAACACAATGACTAGAGAGTTATCTGTCATGTGTTCCAGCATTTTGTAACAAACACCATCTTTCCCAGGAGTGGTTTGGCGAACTTCCTGTGTGTAACATCAGTCACTGTGCTCAGGTAGGCTGCCACAGTGTACTGTCTCTTTAGGGCCAGATAGCATTGCATTTTACTTTGTTCTGGATGTAGTGTGCTGTAAAGGCTGGCACGATAGGCGGTTCAATGGGGCTGATGTGTAGATTCTGCCAGAAGAAAAATCAGCGGGGAGGTGCCACATTGCTTTTCTTCCCGACTGCAACGCTGGTCCCGCAAATCAAGCAAATTACATTTCCTTTTTTGTTTTGTGAATTTTATACATTTTGGATTTTCTTGGCGAGCTATTTTTAGAACGTGCCCGGCGGGCGCCTCACGTTGCCCCCGCGGGCACTCAGTCGCCCGCAGGGGGAAACGTTGGCTACCCCTGCTCCAGAGTGATGATTGTCCCCAGGCTTTGAAGTCATCTCCAGCAGGTGCACGCCGGCTGTGCGCTGCGATTGGAGTGTGTCGGGCCCGGCGTGCTCCATTCACAATCCTCAGGGGGCGGACCAGGAGATGGCAGCCAATGACGTCAGGGCAATCGCACTGCTCATTTACATACAACATAGATTAACAAAATAAAGACGACCCGGAAGGCAGCAGCCGTAACTATACTAAACAGGATTGGGCCCAATACAGAGCCCTGCGGTACTCCAGTTGACAAACATAGTGCACTAGACTTATGGTTCTCAATTTGAACACATTGGGAGCGGGATGAAAGATACGAATTAAAGAGGTTGGTGAATTCTATAGAAACATTTAAGTTGAGTATTTTTTGCAATAAGATGTTGTGATTAACAGTGTCAAAAGCTTTCCGTAAGTCAAGGAACACGGCCCCCACAACCCCCACAACCCCACCCCTGTCCATTGATGCCTTAACTTTCTCCACGAAGAAGCATGTCGCTGTTTCTGTTGAGTGATTAGCCCTGAATCCAAATTGCATTGGATGCAGTGGAAAGGAGCTGTTGTTGAGATGATTGATGATTTGTTTGGCAATAAATTTCTCAAATACCTTGGATACTATGGGTAAGATACTGATGGGCCTATAGCAGTGACGTGCAGTGAGGTGCATGGCTGGTGAGGCACTGACTCTTTCAGAGTCAGATTTACAAATATTATATTTTGACCTTAATCGAAATATTCGGTTATTTTCAGAAGCTTTTTTAGTCTGATGCTTCAATTCATTTTAAACAGACCGTTCAACAAAAGGATAGGCCTACCCACAATTGAAATATTGGATTGTTCTTTCTTCGTAAGATGCCATTTGCATTACAATTGTGGTCTTACCTTGACTTGAAGATGAAGTCCATGCTATCCTTCTGGACAACAATCTCTATTACTTTTTTGTAAAAGTCCTCCTTATCTTCCTGTCGTTTCAAAAGTCTAGTTTTTTGTTCGTGTCTACCGTCTCTGCGTAGAATAACAGTAGCAACAAGAACCTGTGGGCTCACTTGCGCCCCCTTCAGTGCGGCAGAGGTTATGGCTGCCTCCCCTGGTGCTATTTTCATTGCCGTTGTATGATGAGACCAGCGGGCCTAAATATCATATATACGTGAAATAAGTTATTTAGAGACTATGGATGGCGAGGATACATTTAATAAAGGGATCTACAAACATTACATTGGTGACATACAGTGAGATGGTGCAGGCATGCGCTTAGGGCCCGCTTTCCAGCCAGTTTCTGTGAGGTAACGCATTCTGAGGTGAGGCAGATCTCATCTGTGCCTCACCTTACCCCACAGTAACTGGCTGGAGCGCGCTCACAAAATAAGTGTCCGTGCTACATTAGTGCCCGCGCTCCAGCCAGTTACGTGAGGCAGAGCTCGTCCCTGCCTCACTCCTCATCGCTCATGTAGGAGTTGTAGCGGAGCTCTGCAAATGAGCTGATTTTGACTATGAAAAGCGATTAGAATCAAACATAAATCACACTTACAACATAGATCAGTGGAGACATTTTATTATTATTACTATTTAGTTTTTCTTTAGTTGTTTTCCCGTTACATTGGAGTATGACAGGTGAGGCTCTGCCTCCCCTGACTACACGTCGCTGGCCTATAGTTGGATGTCATAAGAGGGTCCCCACCATAGTTATCAAGAACACAAAACAGTTCTTTAGCCCCTCTGTCCTGGGGGTTGTCAACATGGATGTTAAAATCACCAACAATGACTAGACGGTCAAAGTCAAAACACACTATAGACAGCAGTTCAGTAAAGTCATCAAAAGAAGCTAAAAGAAGCTAAGAGCACAGCTGAACTCCCGCAGCCCTGGGGGGCCCCTACATTGGTTGTGATGGCAGATGACAGGGTTTGGTCAAGTTGCTCTCTACTGGTGAGGAAAGCGGCATACCAGTATATTAGGTATGGATTTACTTCCATTTTGGCCATTTTTGAGACCAAGATGTCTGCTTGTATTGTGTTGCTGCTGAGAAGTCTAGGAAGAGGGCTCTTGCTTAGGTGTGACGTTTATCTAAATGTTTAGTGATGATGTGAACCAGAGTAGCAGCAGTACCACCCCCTTGCTTATAGGCAAATTGGTATGGATCAAGTATGTCTTGTCCGTCACAATAGGTTTAGCTGAAGAGGTCATTCCTGTCACGGTTCTCATGGAGTCCCACACTTTTTTGGGGTCTTTGGCTTTAAAAGCATTTCCCAAAAGCTCTCTGTGCGCCAGTTTTGATTCCCTCAATTTGACTTTCAGTTCTCTCTCTGTCTGTTCAAGTGCTCCGTAGTCTTTGTTTTTGAAAGCTATTTTCCTGGTTTTTATAACTTTTTGTAATGTCCTTAGTCACATATGATTTATTACTTGGATAGATTTGTATCTCTTTAGTGGGAACACAGAAGTTAATATAGTCTTTGGTAACAGTAGTTATTTCATCTGGTGAACCTTCCTGAAAGATTTCCCAATCTGTCCAATCAAAACAGGCTTTCAACTGTTCCCTACTTTCATTTGTCCATGTCCTTATTACTTTATTTTCTGGTTGACTTCCCTTGAGTTTGGTCTTATACACTGGTATCATATTCACAACATTATGATCAGAGTTCAGTATTGGTGGTCTGTATTTAGACACATAGGCTCCTTTATCATTAACAAAGCATTTGTCCAGGATATTGTCTTTCCTGCTGTGATCCCTAACATACTGCTGGAACCCAGGTAACACAGTCTCCAGGCGACATTGCTTCATGTCCCCGAGCACTATTGCCGGTGCATCGGGGTGGCTGAGTTGCAGCTCGTGAACACAGTGTCCTCCACGTAAACAACAAACAGTAAAATACACCCAAATTCTCTAGGCAGATAAAAGGGTCTTAACGTAATGCCGATAATTTCTACGTTGGGATTGCAGGTTTTACATTTACTGAGTATGATCGGCACCACAGATCATTAATATACACACAAATACCACCTCCTCTGGTTTTCCCCGAGTTCGCATCCCTGTCTGCTCGAACAAGGGTGAGTCCGGGTACTTCAAAGAGAGATTCAGGCATCGTAGATTGTAGCCAACTTTCCGTGAAACATAATAAAGAGGCCTCGAGAAATTCAAGACAGTACCTTGTATATGTCCTTAGTGTGTCCACGTTGTTGCTCAATGAGCGCAGGTTTGTGAGAATGATGGATGGAAGTGGTGGCCGGCTGAATCTCCGCTTTAGGCGATTAATAGGGGGAATAATTGGGCAGTTGTGTGTGTGTGTGTGTGTGTGTGTGTGTGTGTGTGTGTGTGTGTGTGTGTGTGTGTGTGTGTGTGTGTGTGTGTGTGTGTGTGTGTGTGTGTGTGTGTGTGTGTGTGTGTGTGTGTGTGTGTGTGTGTGTGTGTGTGTGTGGCCTGCGGTCGCTCGTTAGCTGTTCTAATGAAGGTAAACACAGTGAAGGCACAGCTCTTTGCAGCTGCTGCTGCTCTTCTCAGATTCTGCTGAGTTGCACGTTACTGCCTCCTGGTGCTGCAGAGATTTCATGAAGTGAAGGAGGTTTTTCTTCTATGAAGCAGCTGTGGGCAGCAGATACTGAGAGAGTCACAGACATGAATACATAGGTCAAGGCAGACTGGTTCTCAGACTCTCCTGTTTTGCCGATCCGGTGCTTGAACAAATAACTCTACACCCCTGGCCGAAATGTCCCTAAAATGAAGTCTGAGTTTGAAATATATCTCAAATAATGTATGTATTTCCCCACATAAACATAACAGTCTGCAATGAAACGGCTGTCTCCTGTGCGCTCCACTTCCTACTTTCTCCTGCGAACGAGAAGAGACTTTCTCTTTTTTTTCTTTCATTGCTCTCTAGGGGCTTCGAACAATGCAAATATTTTTTTTTAAAAAGTAAAGTCCTTTCGAGTCATCTGTCTCAAGCCTAAGTCAAGTCTCAAGTCATGAATACCAAGTCAATGTCGAGTCTTTTATCAATGTTAGTCAAGAAATTCTCAAGTCAAAAAATATGCGAGTCAAGTCATGTGACTCTAGTCAAGTCATGTGACTCGAGTCCCCCACCTCTGGTATATACTTTGTGTTTATTATATTTGTATTATATTTGATACAGTAATACAGCAATATTCTAACCAAACAGTTGATAAGTAGTATTTTGTTAACTCAAGGTTTATTTTAAGTGAGTTTTTATTGTGTTAACTTGTGTATTTATGCTTTTTAGATTGACTTTCTCCCTTTCTCTGTCCGTCTGTTCTAGAAACCGAAAGGAAGAGAGAGATGTCACAGCTGTCAGCAATGTGACAAATCCTTTACAGCATCTGGAAATTTAAAGCGCCACCTGCGTATTCACATGGGAGAAAAACCCGTACAGCTGTGAAGAGTGTGGGACAACTTTCACTCAATCAGGTGATCTCAAAAGACATCAAAGTATTCATACTGGAGAAAACCCGTACAGCTGTGAAGAGTGTGGGACAACTTTCAGTACATCAGGTGCTCTCAAATCACATCAACGTATTCATACTGGAGAAAAACCTTACAGCTGTGAAGAGTGTGGGACAACTTTCACTCAATCAGGTGCTCTCAAAAGACATCAACTATTCACACAGGAGAAAAACCTTACAGCTGTGAAGAGTGTGGGAAAACTTTCACTAGATCAAGTGCTCTAGAATCACATCACCGTATTCATACTGGAGAAAAACCGTACTGGTGTGAAGAGTGTGGGAAAACGTTCACTAGATCAGATGCTCTAGAATCACATCACCGTATTCATACTGGAGAAAAACCTTACAGCTGTGAAGAGTGTGGGAAAACGTTCGCTTCATCAAGTGGTCTAGCATCATCACCATATTCACACTGGAGAAAAACCGTACTGGTGTGAAGAGTGTGGGACAACTTTCGCTTCATCAAGTGCTCTAGCATCACATCACCGTATTCACACTGGAGAAAAACCGTACTGGTGTGAAGAGTGTGGGACAACTTTCACTTCATCAAGTCATCTCAAAAGACATCACCGTATTCACACTGGAGAAAAACCGTACTGGTGTGAAGAGTGTGGGAAAACGTTCACTAAATCAAGTGATCTCAAATCACATCTTCGTGTTCACACAGGAGAAAAACCATAGTGGGTTTAAGAGTGTAGGATACGCAATTAAGCATATTTTGTTTTTTCACAGTTTACAATAAACAATTCCCATCTATTGGCCTTGTGTTGGTTAATCCTTTTTTATGAGGGGCCGTGTAGGCCAAAATTCAAACTCACCTCACACACACACACTACTGAAATACTCTCACATTCACTACTGAACACCTCACACACACACTACTGAACACATCTGGCCTTGCACACACACTACTGAAATACTCTCACATTCACTACTGAACACCTCACACACACACTACTGAAAATTAAGCCTCACACACACTACTGAAATCCTCTCACATTCACTACTGAACACCTCACACACACAATACTGAAAATTAACCTCACACACACACTCCTGAAAAACATTTTACTGAAAGGTTCTCAGTAGGGAATGTGCATGTGTTTCACCTATGTGTGTGTGTGAGGGGATTCTTGCTGTAACGGAAGTGTTTCTTGCTGTAACGGAAGTCATTCGAATGTAACGGAAGTCATCTGCTCGTGGTCTCTTTGCTAGCCCCGTTAGCTTCATTAGCTCCAGGCTGCTACTCGGACGTGTTTGTTGTGTTGATGCCTGGTGGAGTATTCTTCATTGAAATATCACACTTATCTTATGGCTCTGCGGTTCAAACAGACCGTCTATGAATGCAGTTTATTCGGTAAGTGAAATTCAAGCACTTTATTTCTTACTTGTCTTTTTATTCAGCTAACAAGCGAGACGAAGCTACATCTGTGCTAACGATGCTATCCGTAGCATACAAGTTAAAACATAATAGAGAAGTGTAAAACATTAAGAAGGATTATACTGTAAAACATAAGGCTTCTCGGTGAGGTTGGTAAAAATAAGGTCATGCTTGTACATTAGTTAGTTTGCTAGTTAGGTAACTGTAAATTGTTATTGTTAATTTAAAATAGCTATGCTCGACGATGCAGACAGCTAGCGTCACATTAGTGTTGAAGAGCAGAGTACGGTATGAGAAGATTAACCCATAGATTAACCTCACTATAAGATCTGTGTATCTTAAAAATATGAATCTCACATTTCCAGTTGGTTCCAGAAATAACGTTGACGTAGATATTGCAATATGGTTTGTTGAGCTGGAGTTGATTGTTGTGGCTTACTGGTTAACGTTCATCATATTAAACGAACGAACCCAAACGTTGTTGTTTTTATTAATATTATTACCCATAGGCCTACTTACTTAGCATTTTATTATCATTACACTGGAGAAACCGATTTATTGTGGCAGAAGAACGTGAACATGTAATTTAATGCCTGCATTTGAGGACGAAAAATAGCTCAGTCAATGCTTTAGGGACAAGGAAATGATTTGTTTAAATATTAGATATGACGTTATGTTTGCTTCTGTGACAATGAAGCTTATTCATTGCATTACATTTGTTGAAGTTGTTTGTCTTTTACCCTTACGTGTGTGTTACAAATGAATGTGAATATGGCATAGTACAAATATTTAAATTGACTGTCTCATGAAAAACGATTCTAAAATAAAAAGGACCCCAAAGTGAGTCAGCAAAACTTTCAATAATAATCTAAGGTATTGAGTTTTGGGATGTTACTTGCATACACATCTATAAATGCCTTAAGGTTTCTAAAACATACAATATGTGGTAAATTCAACAGTGGACCCAGCAAAGATTCACATTTTTGCATGATTTTTGTTATTGATTTGTTGCTGTTACTTAATTATACTTTTAATACATTCAAGTCAAGCTTCGTTACATGTGATGGTAGCTATATGATCTTACCTGTGTGCCTCCTCCGCAACCAGACTGTATTCAAACTCTTAAGTACCAGTTCTATCTACTTTAAACAATTAAAAAGACAAAATCAACTACAATTATTGATATACCAATCTTTATTTTTGGGGCCTCTTCTTCTTTTAAATTAAACTTTCAGACATGAGATATTGAAATACAGTAATAGTTTTGTCTATTTAAAAAATAATGAGCCATTCCTTACAGTTAACTTCATATTTCTTATTGTCTAAAGCATTTATGACACACATTTCCCCCTCATATTCACAGTGTGGATCAATTGAGACAGCGTCCAGAGACTTTGGGAGAAACCTCAGCATGACGGATGTCCTGTCTGTGGGTTTGGCTGGAGAGGACTGAGGTGGAGAGGTCTTTCTCTGGGAGGAGGACCAGGCCTGATGGAGGAGGACCGGGCCTGATGAAGAAACCCCCTAACTGCATCTGTGAGCACATACTGGGCTCAGCTGTCACAAACAAATGATGGTCCTGTTTGACTTTGTGTTCACAATAAAAGTGTAGTTTCTTAGTGAATGTCCTGTATTGGTCTTTAATCGGAAATCAGCTATTCATTTTCTTCTTGCCCCTCTGAGAAAACGGTGAGGCAGTTGTGTCCTTCAGGTATGTCCTTTCCTAACAGAAATGACAAGAAACATATGACATTATTGCAGAGCAAGTGTGTTATTTATGAAAGGTTTGTTTATTTAGCGGCTGTAGAAATAATATATTTTTTAATTTTAATGTGTTTTTTTAATTCATCACTTTGTACTACAAAGATAATCATATTATGAATGAACAGTCTGCAGTTAATGAATAAGCTTCATTGTCACAGAAGCACACATAACGTCATATCTAATATTTAAACAAATCATTTCATTGTCCCTAAAGCATTGACTGAGCTATTTTTCGTCCTCAAATGCAGGCATTAAAGGGATAGTGGAAATCCGCGAATTTTGGGTTTAACTTATGTATTTTTATTAAAAAGAATGTAGGAGCCATTTTGTGGGTGATGTTGGTGTGTCAGTTTATTTAAGTTATATGTATAGTGCAATATTATTTATGAACACTGGGTGGCGGGGTTTAGCTGCACCGGGTGTATATAAGGAGGTCATAGGTGACAGGAGAGGAGGGGACACAGTAGGAGAAGAGCATACCGATTCCACCAGCCCGGCAGATGCTCATAGAATCACTAGAACGCTAAATTAACCCTGGTATGTAAAGACGAATAAACATCATCATAAACCACAACTAAGGACCGGAAAATCATCTGTTTGTGTCTGCGTCTGGATCACTTTTCAACCCTTCTGTGAAAGTAACGGCAAAAATATATAGGACACAGGAAAAGGAAATTGCCATTACAATAAGTGGAATCGTACTTTTGAGTGAAACTGGACAATTGGATTCACTTCAAATTGGATTAAGGATCGTTTTCGGGGAAAACAAATAATTGGATTATTGCACCATCGACTTCTCATCACGGATCAGCTGCACACGCCACAATCAGCTGGAGATTGTTCCCACCTGCGAGGACCGAAGAGGCTGAGAGAGGACTGGGAAAGCGGCCGGGTATGTGCACCGTGCAGCGTGATAAGTAGATTGTAAAAGAGATATTAAGCTGTATTGGACAATGGCTTAGTAAATGGAGGTGGTGCTGCAACATTGTCAGCTGTTTGAAACAGCGCGCTGTCAGCTAACGGACAATTCCTGAGAACGAAACTTAAAGGGACAGTGAACATTAATCATGTCTGTGACATCTGACGTCACGTCACAAGATGGCGCTGTTGGACTGCAATCTGTGAGAGAAAAAAGGATTATCACTCACACTGCCAAAGGATTGGAATTGTTTATTGCAAACTGCCAAAAAGCAAGAAACTTGTTAGCAGAGTAAGCATAACTTCATTGCTGTTTAGCATCCAAATAAGCGGAGGAATAACGAAACATCAGAGACCGTGACATTTCATTCAACGGACTCTCCCATTGGAGGCGTGGCTTTATTTATACCCATCATGACCTTTAACCTGTTACGCTATTGGCTTCCGGTCATGCACAACAAATAACACGAATTGGTAACACATTTACCTGAATGTTAACACCCCCACTTGATATCACATTTGTGTTTTTTTTTTTGTTTAACAAATAAAAACATTATAAGGTTCTCTACCTTACAGAAATTGTTACTCTCCAAACATAAACTTTGCAAACTTAATCAACTTAAACTTTGGTGCAGGTTTTGTCATAACATCTGCCACCATCTGGTCTGTTGGACAATAAATCAGATTTGTTTTTCCCCCTTCCACAGTAGACCTCAGAAAATGATACTTAATGTCAATATGCTTGCATCTCTGTCTGTTAACAGGATTCTTTGCCAACGCTATTGTGCCCTGGTTGTCTTCGTAAATCGTAGGTAGTGTATATTCACATTTGTCAATGCCTTCTAGTAGTTGTATTAAGTACATACACTCCTGCATAGTAGCTGCTAAAGCCATATACTCAGCTTCACAAGTTGATAATGCGACAGTTGGCTGCTTTTTTGTTTTCCAGGAAACCAGTGGCCCGCTCTCATTAAGGCTAACACAATAACCTGACATACTACGTCTGTCGGTTAGATCAGCAGCCCAATCTGCATCGCTGTATGCTTGTAAGCCCAGTTTTTCACTCTTACTTTTCCGGTAACACAGTTCCCTGTCGATTGTACCTTTCAAATATCTCAGTACATGTGTTACAGTAGTCCATTGCTCTTCTGTCGGCTCAGAAAAATACTGGGACAGTTTACTGACAACAAAACTCAAATCAGGCCTCGTGCACACAGCCAGCTAGATCAGGCTACCTACTGCCTCTCTGTACATTCTAACATCCTTCATCGGTACAGCATCATCTAAGTAGTTCAGTTTTTGCTCACAAGGTGTCGCTCTCGGTTTACAATCCTGCATGTTAAACCTTTCAAGTATTTTGTTCACATATTTCTTCTGTGACATCTTTACACATGAATCAGTTTGATCAAAATCAATGCCCAGGAAATGTTTTAGTTTCCCCAAGTCTTTCATCCTGAATTTAGCTGTGAGCATCTCCTTAACAACTTTCAATGCATTGTTATCACTAGCTGCAATGATTATGTCATCCACCCATATTATCATTATCACTTTCCAGTTTTCAGTTTCTTTTGTGTAAACACAATGGTCAGCCGGGTTCTGTAGGAACTCTTTTTCACTCAGATATTCATGCAGCATTTTGTTCCAATTTCTGCCTGACTGTTTAAGCCCATATAGTGACTTTTCTAGCTTGTACA